TTTTTGGCGACCATGTTGGCAACTAGCGATTGATTGAACGGTGCAGAAGTTGATATGTTGTAGCGCCACCTGGTGGGGAGCAGCAACAAAGAGAATAGTACAAAAACCTACTCCACAAAAAATACATATACATGCCAATTTTCATAGTGATCGGTTGAACGGTGTCAAGAGTTAAGCGCTGCCATATATACAAACATCCATTTATATATAATAATACGTACATACTTCTCTCCCTCTCTCTCTATTCGAATCGGATATTGTTCACTATTTCATTGGTTTTAATTTTGTTTTCACGGAACCCTAATTTTTTTTTCTAAAAAATAAAAGTAGCTTAAGTTACTCCTTACAATATTAGCTATCGGCCATTGAAAGTTCTTTCAAAATCGGTCCAGCCGTTTCAGAGATTAACCGGAACAAACAAACAGACAAGAATTTAAAAAATTGATTTTTGATATAAGTACCGAATGTACTTTTAAATGCATTTAGTAAAAAGCTGTTATTTTGAAATTATAAAGACACTTTTTTAATTTTATATATTTGTATTGAAATGTTCTTACAGAAATATTTTTCAAAAAAGGAGAATAATTTGAAAATATGTAATTTTTTTCTTCATTTTTCACCTAAAAACTGTATTTAATAATTTTTACTGTAATGAAATTCTTAAAACAATTTTTTTAAATGTATATATTCTAATTAAACTAACACTAAATATATCAAGAAAAAAGTTATTCATTTATACGTTTTTGCAAAATCGCTGTTCCGAACGCAATTTGATATAACAAAAATGGAGTAAGTTCTCAAGCATTTTGGGAAAATTTTTACTTTTAGAAAGTATTAGGAAAATATTTCTTTTGTGATATTCCCCACTAATATTCTTCTTTAACCTTAAGGAAGACCATAATAGCAACCTTTTAAAACTCCATATTTACGTTACTTTGTAAATTAATGCAAGTTAAGCATGTTTTATTATTAAAATAATTAACTGAAGAGGATGAAAATCATTTTTCCGTGGCAAAGTAAATAAGCTGAGCATTATTAAAAGCTACAAGAAAACCATCGAAAGAAGGATGACTAGATACACCGGAAGATTTTAAAGAATGATAAGTGGACGAGAAAATTAAAGAACAACAAGGTTTTGTCAAAGATTTCAGAGCTCATTGTTTTGACGGGAGCGCGGTTAATTGAATAAAGAAATTTTACAGAAAATAAAAAGAATTAAGAGCCTGGAGAGTTAATTAGAATTAGCTTCCTCAATTCAGGAACTAGGATATAGGAAGAGAAAAATCCTCGGGCAATGTATAGTGTTATTACAGAAAGATGAAGTATGAAGAATACAAAAAAAAATTAATAAACGGTGTTATATTGGAAATGAGGTACACCGACATCATTATATTGTATATAATACTCTAAAATTTAATAAAAATGTAGCCAATATTTAGAAAAATAAGTGCGTATCAGCATTTTACGAAAAACCATAAACTTTTATTTGGAATTAATAATTAAAATATAATAGAATTTCTTTGAGCTCTTTTAAATTAAAAGAATAATTAGAAACATTTCTAATGTTCTTTGATATTTTTAAATTAGAAATATTTATCTCCATTTTCAAAAACATAAAATGAAGGAGAAGCAAAAGGTAAACCAGAAAAGACAGAGATATTTGTACAGATAAATTTGTGATACACTTAGGTTTGTATTTAGAATTGAATCACAGTATGTATTAAATTTAATAAAAATACATATGCTCTAAGTTACCTCTTTTAGCAAATTTTCAATTAAATTTATCTTTATTTTTGCCGCTAAAATCTGAATTATTTAGTCCCAATATCAAGATAAGTTAATGAACTGAAATCAGTGGCACAACAGCCCATGAGGATCAATGCATACTGTGCATATCTCAGTATACGTGACCTTGGATGCTGAGGTGCATGAGCAGATGATCCATTCAGGTGGTCAGTCTAACATGAAATCCCTTGTGTCTCCACTGTAACGTACCCTTTTGATTACCATCTGTCTGCTACCCCTTCTTTTCTACCCTCTTTTTTTTGTTTCCTGGTTCCTCAGGTGAAAAGATACTTTTATTTCTTTCATTTTTCAAGTGGACAGTTCTGGTCGCACTTGCTGTCAGCCGTCCATATTTTTCGTTTAACTCGTGGCCTTGCTACACGTGTTAAAAAAGAATGGTTCGCTTTAGTAAAGAAGATATGTGTTGGATTGCGCTTTTTGCGTCGGACTGACATAACGATTTATGGCTCATCAGTGTAACTTAAAGCATATGGCACCAAATAGGGCATCGACCAGACTGGACCCTGCCTTAAAGAACCAATGGTGTTGGGAACAGTATCTGAGGGAACCGGGTGCAAAATGATTTTATTTCCAATGAGGAATGGAAGAGAATTGGTGGGGCGTGAAAGAATCTTGTTTCGAGAATTACTAGATAAATGTAATACAGGACTTTTAACTTATGTATAATTTGTACTTTTAAAAATACTTTAAAGTAGTAGTTTTATACATATGCACAAGTGTTGTTTTATTACATAGTTATAAAATTTTAATGTATTAGAAAAAAAATTTTCACTTCGTGTATTTTGGGAGTTTTTTCTTACCCTCTTGATAATTATTCCTCTCGATAATACCTCTCAAATTCTTAATAATTCGAAGTTTTTCATTGGTCCCTCCAACTTCGAACTATCGAGAATCAACTGTGTGGCGAATCTGTACGGCACTTTATCACTAATAAATACTCTTAGGCGTCTTTGGGGATTGTAAATTCGTGTATATTTCCAACCAGCTCTAAAAGAAGAAACCGGGATATGCAAATTAGTTAAAGTATTTAAGGAGAGTGTTGTAAGTTAACAGTAGGCTATTACGCCAAGAGATAGGTTGACAGTGTTTTATAGAGATTCAAGTGCATTGTGCGATTAGCGTCTCGCTGATCATTAGGCAGTGATTTACAATTGGAAAGTTTGATACGCCTAGAAAATGAGGTGGTAAAGGGAGGGTGAGATTTAAATCTAAATTATCGGATCATAAGAGTAAATATATAATAAAGTTAGTGGTAATTTAATGAATGCTAGTAATTCAAATTGTGTGTATCTCTCGATCCTCTTATTCCGGTAATCCCGTTCGATATTGAGTTTAATAGTTGATTAGTATCATATTTCGTGATTTAATTTAATAGTAAGGGTCAATCACGTTGACTTAGACATATTGATTCATCTTTGAAATTAGAAGTTTTATAATTGATTCAAGTGAATAAATATAATTTGTTATTGTAAAAATGTCGTCTGGTCGTTCTTTGCCTCAAATCAATCTTGGTGTCCAGGGTAGAATCCAGGGGGATTCTCACAACTGTATTACTCTTTTTATTGTGTGCAATAATTTTGAAAATATAATTTTCTTTAAATCCAATCATATTAATCTATGCTAAGTCTGTATATGATATATAACCTCCCATAATAAATATCATTTCTACGAAATACTTAATCCTTATAACAAGCTGAGTATTAGCTGTGAAAGTACAGTGAGCTTTTAAGGCCTTCCAGCAATTATGATCTGATCTAGAAATTGATCCATCTTTATCTTCCCCAACCATCAGTGATCCAATTAGTGTCAAAAAGAAACTCTGATAACTTCTGACATCACTCCGTCTCCCCAGCAGAGTCTGATCCCGCACAAACAACGACATTATAATCCAATTTAATCCTTTACTAGTTAAACTCAAAAGAAGTTTCTGAGCCAAGTAATGCGCGAAAGCTTTCAGTCGAAAGTTTTTGGAGACGAATTTGAAAGCTTTGGTTGATATAATCCGAAGTATAAAATTTTAGTCTATCTTGTTAAGGACGCTTTCTGGGAAAGATTTAAAAAAAAGGAAGGGTTTTATCCTGTTCTTTTCTCTTTTTAAAAATATTTGTAGTATTTTCTTTTCTTTTCTTTCTTTTTTTGTCATTAGGAATTATAGCTTTAAAATTTCAATCCATGGTGTAATTTTTTTCCATAACTCGAAAATAGGAATAAACAAGTAATATAATAAGTAATATAAAGAACAAATTTTAAGTTAAACTCTACTTAGATCAGCAAAGAAAAATTTTACTTTAGCTACTTTTTATTAAATAATTACAACTAATATAAGCCTGTATATACATATGACAGAATCACAACATTAAGTGGTAATTAATTTTTATTAATTATTATTAAAGTATCGTATTGTCATCCAAAACAATCGTGTATATAAAATTTCAGTTCAACTGAATTCTTTAAAACGTGAGAAAAAATATTTTAAAGTTTGGACCCTGGTCGCTAAAAATGAAACCAACGTGGCTGTATCTGTAATTCTTTAAATAATAAGTTTCAGTCAATTAATTTTATTAATTATAATTAAATTATTGTATTTTTACCCAAAACAATAGTGTATAGAAAATTTCAGCTCAAAATAGCGATTTAAAATGTGAGAAAAAAACCTTTTCAAATTTTGATACTAGTCACCAAAATGATCGCCAAGTCGCCAAAAATGATGCCAGTGTGACTGTATTTGTAATTCTTTGAATAATTAGTTTTAATCAATTTTTATTAATTTTAATTAAATTACTGTATTGTCATCCAAAATAATCATGTATATAAAATTTAACCTCAATTCAGCGTTTTAAAACGTATTTTATTAATGATTGAAAATTCCACCAAGATAAATAAATATATAAAGAGTGTGAGCTAATAGTTGAAATTGAAAAAAAATTCCTATTTATATATAGGTCAACAAAGAAAAATTTTACTTAAGTTACTTTTTATTAAGTAATTACAATTAATATAAATATGTATATACATATGACAGAATCACAATATTAAATGACAAAATAAAAAGTAATTTCCCCAGAAATTTTCCATTTTCCTTTCTATATATGGTGTGTTGAACTATTATTTTTGTTTCTTACTATTTATTCATAAATTAAATTTAATTATTCTGATAAAATAGTATAAAGAAATCCCATTCTCAGAAATTAGACCATCCCAAGTGGGATTTGAGCCTACGACCTTTGGATTAGAAGTCCAACGCGCGCGCGCGCGCGCGCTCTCCATTGTGCTACAGGGACACAACGGGAAATTTTATGTTCTATATGGTGTAGGACTATTATTTTTTTTGCTACTATTTATTCATTTTAAACTTGTTTAGTGGATTAATTTTTGAAAAAACTACATTAGCAACAAATGTCATCCACTACAAGTTTAAAAAAGTGTATTCGAACTTGATTGGATGAATAAAAAGTATTTTATTAACGATTGAAAATTTGAACAAAATATATGTATAAATATGTATAGGGAGATTGTGTGAACTATAATAGTAGGAATTAGGAATTGAAAAAAACCTTATAATTATATGATAAATTCAACTAAAAAAATTTTTAAGCGAATCAATTTTTTACAGCTCATAATGGGTTAAATTCATATATATAATGGGTTAAATTCATGATTGCAATATGATAAATGGAATCCCGTGTTGTGCACAGAATTCAAAACTATCATGAGACGTACTTGTTTTACTTGTAAAGTTTAGATAAGATTTCAAATTTTAGTATTGGGTAAAAATATTCAAATACCAAGATTGTTTCAAAAGTTATTGAAAATTAAAGAATATTATGTGTATAATTTTAAAGCAAGTGCCTTTTTTTTTACGTATGTGTGTCATAATTGTTGACAAATAAGTAATTTTTAAAATGAGGTTTATGCAAAAAAAAAAACGCAAAAGGTGGGCAACATGAAAGCTCATGAACTGATTAGCTGGAAACACATGATTGCCTTTATCATGTGACTATGACGTCACACAAATTTTTGAATTCCTTGGTTGTAAACACGGGATTATATAGCTATCGTGTGACTTTGACGTCGCATGAATTTCGTCTATTCTTACGAATGGTAAAAATCAAATTGAAAAAAGATATATATTAATTTATATTTTGACTATTTTAAGTTTCGTGTTCTTACTCTGAATTTTACAAGATGTCGGATTCTTTTTACGAAAAAGGATATAGTAAAAAGTTAAATAAGTAATAAAAAGAATTATTATATTTCAGCCAAAAAGAGAAATTGAAGGGAAATTAAAAAGATTATATTCTAAAAGTAAAAATTTTTTATCGTAAGATTTTAGGAGAATTACTATAGATTTCTCTCTGAGATTCTTTTTACAACACTTTTTAATTTCAAATTACTATTTTATTTGCTCATTCATTCAAATAAAAATTTTCAAAAAATTTTTCCGCCTTTATATTTAATGTATAATTTGTTAAATAATAATCCAATCATCTACCTTGAGAATTTATTAATTAAATTAGCACATAATTTTATATCAAGTGCGTGGTATAGCACACACAGAATTTGAAAGCTGATTTTATTAAAAGTATTTTAATAATGCAGTTAAGTAATCTGTGATTTCGGAAAACAAATATATTACAGTAGAATCTCAAAAACTCGGCACTTGATAACCCGGTAGTCCGGATAACTCCGCCCCACCCTTGAAGGTCCGATTATGTCCGATAGTGATATTATAGCAGCTGTCACAGTTAGTGGCGCACACAAGGGGGAACAAGGGATTTGGAGGGGAATCCAGGTCTGGATCCCCTCCAAATCTCGAACTTTTTTTTCGATTAATTATAATTTTATGTATAATTCAATAATTAATTTTTTACTGTTTTTTGTTCCCCAAAATCGACAAAATCAAAAAATATGTTGGACGGCGTATTCGAGCATGATACGAGAATGGTGGACTTTCGACCCTGGACCCTCCCCCTTGAAAAATTCCTGTGTGCGTCACTGGTCACAGTTAATAAAAAATTTAATGCCGAAAAATGAAGAAGACGTTAACATTGAGGACACCGTACAAACTCCTAAAATATCACATAGTTAGGAGCTAAAGGCTGTCGAAATCGTTCTTTAGTATTTCGAACAACAAGGTGCGTCTGTGGGAGGTCTTCACCTCTCTCTTAAGCACCTAGATATGTAGGAGGTAGGGAAGAAACACTTGCCATGACCAATCAATCTATTTATTGATCACACAACATAACGACACAAATTCAATTAATAACAGCAAGAGAATGTCTCGGTGCTAACCACGAAAGTGGAACAACGACTGAATACACGAAATATTAGGAGACTATCAAACTCGATCCTTACTTTATATAGGATCTAATCTATTATCCGATTTAATCTAATATTAATTTTATCTCAGTGATCAATCGACACTTTAAGGTATCCGACTACTTGCCACAACTTTTTTTTGAAAAAAAGGAAATATGGAGATCTTTTTGTGATTTTTATATTTATATAGTATATTTTAAGGAAAAAATCCTAAAATTGGTAAAAGAAAAAAAAATATTATTATTAAAATGGGAAAAAACTAGTAAAAATGTACGAAAAATTACATAAACGGGGCCCGCTCTCTACAAAGATTTTATGAACAAATTCTCAATTTTTCAATTTTGATGTGTTACTTTGTTATTCCTGTTTGAAGTGATCTTCACGATAAGAAATATTTTAATTTTTACAAAAACTAGAGCACTTTATCTAAGTCATTATACTAAATTGCTTAAAAAAACATTGACTACATTCACATAAAGAGCTGCAAATTTTGAAATAAAACAGTTATTGATAAATCTGAAGATCAAAACACTTCTACTGTTATGCAGAACATAAGCAAAAAATTTCAGCTAATTATTTTCAAAACTTTTTGAGCAATCGCGGTCCCCGTTTGAGTTTTTCGAAAAAAACACGTTTCGCGTAAAACGCATTTCAAATTTTGACATCTTGTGTAAAGTTATGGCATTTGTGCTTTTACTAAAACGCTTGTAGTTTTTGTTCTAGTGGAGGGGAAATAAAGTACTTTTGGTATTGTTATTAAGTTAATAAAATTGTCTATAAAATAAAATCATAAAAAATTTTGCCGATTTTTGAAAAAAATCATGGTTTTAGGGTAGTCGGATACCTTAAATCTTTCTCCTAATAAGTATTTATTCACAATAACTCAATAATGATACCTGTCAGTAACAATCTCACCTGATTTCTGGTTTTCATCTCTACTTTTTCTACTTTCTATTTTATCTAGAAAACTTCAAATATATATAGTAAACTTAATTTGCATAACACGATTTCTTCTTTCGAAGGGTTGGTTATGAACAACGCGAATTGATAGCCCAAAGATTTCCCAAGAGGAATAAGGGGAGAATCGTGAATAGATCCGTCACACTTAGATAATGAACTTACTGTTTCTTCGACATCTTGACGAAGTAGAGAAGCGCAGAATGCAGTGCATAAGACAATATATAACCTTTACCTTAACCTAATAGACCTTTTTTTATATAAAAAAAGGTAGCCAAATTGTGCAAAAACAAGTTGGCAAAATCGGTTACTTAATTTTTATTGCAGACAGCTTTATGCCTTTATAAAGTATGTTTCTGAGGTGTGTCCGATGAGGTAAATTACTGTATGTTATATATTCATTAATTTTCACTTTCATGTTGTAAATGTGCAGCATGCTTTCCTAAAGTACGTACTTTTCAGTTGTTTAAGGGTATTTGATCAGTTTATTTCCACTAGTATTCTCAAACACATAATACATACAAATGCAGTACAATATTTTCTGGGGAAATACTCGTTCTTGTTCTTTTCTTTAACCCATTCTCGATAACCCAGCATTTTCACAAACTAGGCCACCCTTTGGTCTACATTAGGCCGAATACTCAACTACCGGAGTGGACAATACGTCGATCGCGATCGACCGGTGGACCGGCAAGACATTTTGGGGTGACCGCCTGAAGATTTTAACAGTTACTAATTATATACGAAAATATTCAAGATTATATATATACAGTCCCTGGCCAAATTATTAGATGCACTATAAGATTTTATGAAAAATATTAGTTATCAGGTGATACTATACAGGGTTTTTGTATTTATCAGATACAGTGTATGTGTGTTTTTTGGGTTATCCATTTAATATAATCTATTATTATCACAAATAGAACATCATCATTAAAGAAAAAAATATGTATTTATTGACTCTTGAAAGAAAACAGGAACAAATATAATTAAATAATAATATTTTGTTGAGCAACTTTTAGCCGCTATGAGAGCTTCAATTCTGCACGGCATGCTATCAATACAAAACTGTACTGTCTCCTACATTTGAGGATGATGATTCTACACGTGAATTATTCTTTCTAAGAGCTGCGGTTTATTTGTAATCACATCTTTAACCACTTTTCTTTTCATTAACTCCCACACGTTGTCGATTGGGTTCATATCAGGGATATTACCCGGCCAATCCAACAGAGGGATATTTTGTTCTGCCAAAAAAGCTTTGATAGACCGAGCTGTATTTCAGGGAGCTTCATCTTGCATAAAAATGTATGGTTCTCCATTTGGAAACCATTCTTCCAGCTGCGGAATCAAGCGATTTTGCAAGACATCTGTGTACTGGTCTTGTCGCATCATACCTTTAACCACGTACAGACATCCAGTACCCTTGCCGCTGATGACTGACCAAATCATTATTTTTGTAGGGTGTTTCACAGTCAGAATGAAACTTTTTTCCACGACGACGACGCACAAACTGAGCTTTGTTCTGCAAAATTTCAAATGTGCTTTCATCACTGAAGCAGACTTGTCAAAAATAAAGAATAATAAATAAACATATTTGCTGTTCGTTCTGTGATCATAGAAAATAGTTAAACACCTTGTTTGTGAATAAATTATAGCAACATACCGATCTCCAGAAGTCCTCACCTTTATCACGCCAGTGTTTGGCCCAATTCAGACGCTTTGCTTTCATTGCAGGGGTTTACTTGGGCTTCCTGGCGGGGCGGCAGGTCTTAATATTTAAATCTTTTAAGTTTCTTCGAACAGTGCGTTCAGAAGCATTCACATTAATATCTTGGAGTTGCGATTTTATCACTTTTGTGGTAGCAAACCTGTTTTCAATGCAAATTTTCTTAAACGATCTTTCTGACCTTGGGGGTGAAAATAGGCTTTCTGCCGCATTTTTTTTCTTTTTGGGCTTAATTCTTCCCCTGATTCAATTTTCTTCTTTAGCGTCGTACACTAG